CAAGTCTCTTTTACTGTACCTTAAAAAGTTAAAGTTAATCCCCCTAAGAAGCTTGTGACCAGCAAATTTATAACCAGAGCTCCTCAGCGTATTCTTAAACTACCATAAGAAATTTAATCAAATTAGTTACAGGTGTGAAGACCCGCACTGCCCAGCTGTTAAAGGTGTAGAGCAAATGCTGACTCCGGATGCTTTTGCCAGGCAACCCATAAGGTAAGTCTCTAGTTCTTCCAGCCACGTTGACATATACTCAAATGCGATCCTTATAGCTATCAGGAAATGTTCCGTATGCGTAATCGTGAATATGGGAGTTCACCGGGAAATAGTCCTGCTGGATCGCTTGAGGATCGTTCATTCAATTTCACAGTGAAACGAACGGATGGAGCAAGAGCCAATAGCACATGGTAGGTGAAAAATGTTTTCACAGTGAAGTCTTGCTATGAAACTTCTAACCAGCCAATTTTAGCGCTTCTGGATGTCCGCCAAACACTCCTACAACGGTGATGAATCGTCAAACGAGCTCTGTGCATGATCATATGTGTTTAATGCTGAATGCGCCTAAAACTCTATGTCGTGCGCAATCTGATGAGCATCTTCGTTCGCCTATACCCGAAGAAAATCGAAAGGTAAAACGATTTAATAGTTCACAGTTTACCATGAACTGAAATTAATGAATCTAGTAGCTTTGAAAAATTCGAAAAGCTTCAGAATATAAAGAGTAGAATCTTTTTTTAATGTTAATCTGCTTCCTACTTATCTATTTATCTATTATCTCAAAAATACAAAACTGCCAGACAGGATAAAGGAAACTTCTATCTCAGGAAGCCACTCATTATTCATGGTTTGGACAATTTTGGATTAAAATTGTTGTGTACGAAATTCTATGTTTTCTTTTTGTTAGAACATTTCTTTTAGTGTTGAGACAGCTGCATCTCCATGTAGCCTATAGACTTCATGTTCCTTCAACCCCTAATCAGTGTTCCACGATCTATAAACTCTTCTGCAT